ACACAGACACACACACACACACAGACACACACACACCAGAGGCAGGGGTCTTTCTCTGCTCACTTTCCTAAGACAACTGTTAGCCACATGGCCAGGGGAGATGTGTCCTTTGAGTGGAATGCCAAGTGTCAGATGTCTATGTCATAGTCAAGATGTCTATGGTCATTGAATACTGAGGCCAGTGGGGTTTTGTTTGTTTGTCTGGCATTTGTGAGACAGGGCTCCATGTAGCAAAAGCTGGTCTCAAACTCACTCTGCAGCTGAGGCTGGCCCGGAACTCCCAGTCCACCTGCCTCCATCTCCTGAGTGCTGGCATTACAGGGGTGCTCCACCAGGCCTGGTTTATGTGGTGACTGGGACAGACCCCAGGGCCTCAAGGACGCTAGATAAGCACTGTGCCAACAGAGCTTCAGCTCCAGGTGGCCTGCACTGTATTTTTTGTATTTTTAAAGCCCTGGGAGGCCAGGGTTGTGGTGCAAATACCACCTCATTGTTTTCCTTTCTTCTTTTAATTCCTCTCCTTACTTAAGGCCCCAACGTTGTGACCACAGTTACCGAGCTCCTTCCCCCTGCTTGTAGAGTTCACAGGTGCCACACATGTCCCACAGGACACCTATCAGCTCCTGATCTGATTGTTCATGAGATTGAGGACCTGCCTCATGCAAGGTGCTGGGGACGTGGGACAGAAAAAAATAAAGGTCCCTGCTCATTACCCTGCTTAATTTTCTCCTTCCTCAAGTCTACTTCCTGAGGAAAACTACCTGTGTGGGTTCTTCTAGGTCTTTCCAGCCCATATGTGCACCTGCATACACACACACACACACACACACACACACACACACACACACACACACACACACACATTCTTTCGGTTGTTTTTGTTTGTTTTTTGCCTAGTCTTTAGTTAAAGGATTCTGTCTTCCTTTTTGGAACAACTGCACAGAAACACTTCATTTCCTATCCCTATGTGGTTGAGGGACAAAAGACAATTTTCTTGGGCAGGGAGTAGGGGTGGGGTGGGAATGGACCAGCAGATAAATGCACTTGCCACCAAGCCTGTGGACCTGAGTTTTATCCCTGGAACTGCACTTGGAGGGAAGGAGAAAACCAACTCCTGGAAGTGTCCTCTGATTTGCACACATGTGCAGTGACCTCGGCATGCTCTGCCCCAAATAAGTAAGTGAATGTGGGGAAAAAAACTTTCAAAATGTGGTAACTGACCCTCTCCCACGCAAACCCTTGGGGACCTGTGGGTTTCCCCCAGCACCAGTGTGACCACCCGCTACTCATCTCTCTCTGTCTTCTTGTGTGCCTCAGCAACAATTCTAGAAGTCAGTTGTGGAGGCTGATGTGTGTCTTGAACTCGATGAGTAACACTTTGCCTTTGACACGGTGCGAAATCAACCCATCACTTATCTCTCTTGTCCTTGGTGGTCTCTGTGATGTGGGTGGCTCACAGGCCCCCGAACACACTTCAATGGGCCTTCAACTGGCAGAACAGAGTGGAAAGCTGGGTAGTCAGGGGGATGCTGAGTGCGAATGAAATGGGATGAGACCTTCATTATGCTCAACAGGGCTCTGAGGTCCTGTTTTGCACATTTGATCTGATAAATGGCAATGAGTGGGGTGTGCCGAAGCCGCTGGGTATCCCATGCCCTCTGTGTACCATGCTTTCCCTGGTGACACACTCACCTGCTTGGGGAAGCTCAGAGGCTTTTCACAGATGATCCGGGCACTGGAAGGCGAGTCAGGCAATTCGTAGACTTGGGCAGTAGCTGGCGTTGGCCCCTCCACCCAGCTCTTCATCGGCTCATACACAGGCCCCGGGGGCGGTGGGCAGAACAAGCTGGGCACTTGATAGAGAGCCTCTGAGCCAGTGAGGTCTGTGTCCAGGAGCTGGGGACAGGGTCTGTCTGCAGGGGTCTCTTTGAGGACTTGGAGGCGGTTGGCAGGAGCCAGGCCTTGCCTCCCGTGGAGCAGACACTTCCACCAGCCCTCACTTTCGGGCACATTTTGCTCCACAATGGTCAGGATGTCCCCTCTGAAGAAGGCCAGCTCGTCAGAGCAATCAGGACGGTTGTCATAAAGTGCCCTGGCCAACAGGGTCTGGGGGAGAGAATGTGCTGTTACCATCATCGTCAGTGGCATCCCTGTAACAGGCCACCAAGAAACCACAGCACAAACAAACCTCCAGGCTGCTTTCACAGCCTCCCCAGAGGCTGCGTCCTACTCTTTCCTGATTTATCTTTCCCATCCTCTGGGGTTCTGGTGCTGCCACATGCTCTGGGATGCTTTGCCTGCACCCCCAAACCCAAGGCCAGTAGCCCAAATAAGCCCTTTCTTAAAATTGTGGAGGCCCATGACCCTCTAGTTGCATGATGACACAGTTGGGCCAAAGTCCCATGTATACTACTTGGCTTCAAATCCTAAGCTGTGTGCCCTTGATGGTATTAGCTGCCCTCTCTGAGCCTCAGTTTCCTCATGGATGAAATGAGAATAACAGTGATACCTGCTAATGGGATCACTACTAGAATTAAGTGTTTGTGCGTACATATGTATATAAACATGCGTATGAGATAAATACAATTTGTTTATCTAGTACTCTGTCCCCAGCATCAGCGTCAGACCCAGGTACATAGGAGAAGCTCAAGGGATGTTGGTTAGCTGGGCTTGGTGGCTCACACCTGCAGTTCCAGCACTTGGGAGGCTGAGGCAGGAGGATTGAGAGAGTTCAAGACCTGCCAGGACAATTTAGTGATCCTATCTCAAAAAAATGGAAAGCATTGGAGGTAGAGTGCTTGCCCCACCAGGACTGGAGGGGACAGGGGACATGAGGGCAGTGCTGTGGCAAAGTTTTGATCAATCTTCACTGTCCCCGCCTGGAAGAATTCTCGATATGTTTGCAACATACATGTTTAATATGCTTTTCCAAGAACACTTGAAATGTGTGTGTGTGTGTGTGTGTGTGTGTGTGTGTGTGTGTGTGTGTGTGTGTGTGTGTGTGTGTGTGTGTGTGTGTAGTGCCTGAGGTGCCCAAAGAGACATCAGATAGCTGGGAGCTAGGAACCAAACTCAGATCCTGAAGACAGCAAGCACTCTTAATTGCTGAGCCATCTCTGCAGCCCTTGAAGTGCCTCTTAACCCATTCTCGGAAGTACTCGGCTCTCCAAACTGCCCTGGGAGTGAGTGGCTTCCACCCATCTTGGGGAGTGGGTCACCTCCTTGCTCACCCTACCTTGAACTTACTCTTCCAGAAGGTAATGGAATTATAGCCTGCTCGCAGAGATTTCCCGTCCCCCATGGCGAACTCAGACATAGGGACTTTCCACTACTACAAGGAAGCGCAGAGAACTGGCTTGGTTCTCCAGGACTCCGGCTGCCTTCTCATGTGTTATGTGTTAACACGTCTTCCTTCAGAAGTTCAGGGAACATTTACCGGTTACTACTGCCATATGGCACAGAGTTTTTAGAAATGGTCTCTCCCGCTTGCCATCCTTCAGGGACCTGGTCTCGTTGGGGTCCAGAAGCTTCCAGGCTCTTTGTGATTTCCTGTCTCCCACACATCCTCAGCAGCTCCCATGATCACTCTTGCTGGGGACCACAGTCCTGTCCATTGTCCATCCCTCTGCCCCCAGACATTCAAGCAGCCTTTTGCCCACTGAAATCCCACACAGGTTTCTAGACTCTCCTTGAATGCCACTTCCTGAGAAACCACGATGCAAACCAAACTGGTTCTTCCAGCCTGTTTGGGGTCTTCCTGTGTTCATGTTCATATCTAACGCATAGATGGGGGCCACCTCTCTGCCTGTGTGCCACAAGAGTGGGTGCACACCCTCCCCGCACTCAGCTGTGTCCCCAGGGCCCACATTAGCCTTTTGTTGGGTTGATGAACAGGGTGGAGCCACATGTTGCTGCAACTGTCAAGTCTTTAGGGGGTAAAAAGCCGGAGCATGGATACCTAGCTTTGTCTAGAACAGGAGACCAGGGGATTTTCTGGGATACCACACTCGAAGAGAGGACCAGAAGATGCTGGTGCATGATCCTGGAATGTGACCTCATGGTTTCACATGGAGGCCTGCAGAAGCCATCTGGGTTGATGTGTGAAAGGGAGGAGGTTATGGACTCTCATGGCGTGTTGTCAAAGGCTCAGATTTAGTGAGGCGACCGGATATTTTCTAGAGTTTCTGTTTGTTTTCAAACATTGCTTCTCTATAATCCAGGCTGACCTCCTGAGTGCAGGGATTGTGTGTGTGAGCCACTGCACCTGGCAACTTATTTTATATCTGCAGGAGATTCACAACTTTATCTCGTTGAAAGCTTAGTAATCCCATTACTCAGGAGGCCGAGGCAGAGTTACTGTTTATTTGGGCTACATTCTAAGTTCCAGGTATGAGCTATGAGGTAAGACCCTGCTGAGAGAGAGAGAGAGGGAGGGAGAGGAGAGAAGAAAACACACAACTTAACCATCTAATTTTGGGAAAATGGAAAGCAAAAGCCAGTCTTCATCCTTCACAGTCCTTGTGAAATCCACTCACAGTGTTTTTGAAGGGAGGCCTGTCACTGACTCGTGCAGGATCTGTCTGGTTCACCATGGGTGTCATGGAGCAGTTGTTGAAAGCAGCTGAGCCATGCTGTCCAGACAGTAGTGGCTTCTTCTGGGTCTGGACATTCAGGGAGGCTTGCATGCATGGGGGGTGGGTGTTCCAGAGAACAACAGTTCTTTAGGATCATCCAAGCCAGGAAGCATCTGCCACATGGGGCACCCACAGCTGTCCTGGATTGATAGCAGCTGCCTCATCCCTGACATATGGTTTCCTGCAACTGACTGCTTACTGCCTGGCCACATCTTCAAAAGCAAAGTGACCTCTAAACATGCCGCAGCTCGAGTCCCTTCTGTATGGTAGCTCTCTATAAATATCATAGTGTCTTGGCTGCATCAAGCAATCAATTACTACAATTTCCCAATTAATTATTAATTAATTCATTGCAGTGCTGGAGATGAAACACAGGGCCTCAAGTATGCTAGGTAAGCAACAAAAAGGCCCCTAGCTTAGGTGGCCAAATTTTAATAATAACAGAGACAATCAAAATTTGTTATACAAAACACATAGAACAAACAGGGCAAGGTGGCACAGGCCTGCAATCCCAGCTGTGGGAGGTGGGAGCAGGTGAATCAGGAGTTCAAGTCATCCTGGTCTATAGAAAAACCTTGTCTCAAAAAGTCAAAACAAAACAAAACAAAATCAAACGCAGGCAGTAACTACCCCAGAAGAAGAATCCCAGGAACAGAGCAAGTTATATGGAACGAAGCTCTGTTTTTTATTGTGTGCTCAGACATTTTCTATCACAGATTCCAGAAGCCTCAGCCATGGGCTGTCTTGTCTCCATTTTACAGGTAAGGAAATAGAGGGCCAGGGAGATCTAACAACCTGTACAAAGTCCTTTGGACTCAATGGGGTCTCTTACCATCTATTGTAGACCCATTCCCCCAAATCCCTTCTTAGTCTCCAACAAGAATAATATTGTACACGTGCACAGACACACAGACACACAGACACACAGACACACAGACACACAGACACACACACAGACACACACACACACACACCCCTGGGCCTGTCTAAAAACTGGAATTACTCACAACTGCTTTTAGGGTGCCAGCTGAGGCCCCCAATGTCAGCCATTAGGCCTGCTACTCCTGCCCTTATTGGTGGCCCTTCCAACCATATCGTTTCTTGACTTCTCTGTAATGCTCCCAGCTGGGGACCACACCTTGCTATTCCATATGCTCAGAACACTCTTTCACCAGATCTTTACACGACCAGCTCAAGGGTCACTTCTGAAGAGGCTGCCTCCCTCTGTGCACAGTTGGGTTCCCACATGAAGGACTTATGGAAGGCCTGCTGGGCAAGTCCAGTGGGGCAAGTTGTGGCCAGATTGTCATGTATGAGAGGAGACACCACAGCAGCCCCTGGTGTGACAACAACAGCAAGTCATCACTGTGCACCCGGGAGTCTGGCACCACCACGCTCAGTTCTTTGAAAATAACATTTGGGAGCAATTGACAGCCACAGCTATGGAACCTGACAGCAGTCCGGTTGTCGCAGAGGATGACTTGAAAGCTATGCTTTAATAGGGTGTCAATTTAGAAACATTGGCAAGGATGCTTAAGTGACAATGTAGGACACATGTTTATCTCTGCTTCTTATGGGCGCACAGGCAGCTAGATTTCATAGAGAAAAGGAGAAGTGTTCTTAAAACTGACAAACGTTTTGTTCTGTGTGCACGCGTGTGGTTGCATGTGTGCCTCAGCATGCATGTGAAGGTCAGAGGGCGATGTGCCTGGGAGCCAGTTCTTTCTACAATATGGGTCTCAGGTCATCGGGCATGGCAGCAGGTCCCCTTACTCCCCTTTACACACTGAGTCTTCTCACTGGCCCCAAGGTGCTCCTTTTCATTCTTGCTTTTATGAAAAAAAATTAAACAAGTGTCATGTCCATTCCTTTCCTGCTAGGTTGAGTTTTATGAAGTTTTTTGGTTTTGATTGTTTTAGATAATTCTTAGTTTATTCTTAATTATTTTTATTTTATTTTATGAGTGTTTTACCTGCATGCATTATCTGTGTGCCATGTGAATGTCTGGTGCTGAGGAAACCAGAAGAGGGCATCACACCTTCCTGGAACTGGAGTTACAGCTGTGTGCACTGGGAATCAAACCCAGGTCCTCTGGGAGAGCAGCCATTGTTCCTAACCTCTGAGTCTTCTCACAGGCTCCTATGGTTTTGAGGCAGGATCTCACATAGCCCATGCTGGTCTATATTCCCTAAATAGCTGAACTTCTGATCCTCCTGTCTCTACCCCATAAATTCTGGGGTTACAGATGTGTGTCACCCCACCCAGTGTGGGAGAAACGTATGGCCATCCAAACAACTGGTCACTTTCCAGTTCCTCTAAGTCCACTGTTCACACATCCTCAAGCCTTCCCGTGGGACCTCACACACATCTCTTCCTCTGCCCACAGGCCCTCTCCCCACCTTCTTCATTGACTAAGTCCTCCACCTCAGATAGACCTTGCCATAGCAACTTGCACACACCCATCTCCATACAACAGTCAGGAAGCACAAGTGACATGGACAGGCACTTGGAAGGCAGAAGCAGGATGGGCTTAGGACCATGAAGACAAAGAACAGGGGTGACCCCACTGCAGTGGTGGTGGGGAACCCACAAGAATCAGTGTGCAAATCCTATGGAGCTGGAGGAGATTGATCAGTTAGAGACATCTGGGAAGTCTCCATCCATCCATCCATCCATCCATCCATCCATCCATCCATCCCCCAATCACCAGGGGGATATGTCCACTCACGAGGACATGTGCAAATATGAATCTAGCTGCCCTGCCAGGAGCTCGCCTCAGACCCCATGGTAAACATGGCAGTCCCTCGTCTATGGAATGCATCATCTTCTCAAGGATAAGACTTGTTTTTATTCAGCGTCCACTGAAGTAAACACCAGATCCACAGAAGTACACAGAGGCATTCTGAGTGTGACGAGAAAAAAAATATGGGAAATTGTGGTAAGTCATGCCTGCTGTGGGGAAGTTGTGGTAGGAGAGGGCTTGGGGAAAGTTTCCTGGGACAGTGGCTCTCTGGGGGTGGGACTTAGTCAGATGAAGGGTGTTGGGAGGGCCTGTCAAAGGAAGAGGAATTCGTAAAGCCCCTGGTGAGGGTGTGAGTGTGGTTGAATGGAGGAGTTAGAGGAACTGGAAAGCTAACAGCTGGATGGCCGTACACAATTGTCAGGGCTTTGGTTTCTGCCATAGCTACTATTTATACCTTGTGGCTAGGTGGAGTGTATGGAATTCGAGGCAAATAGGTTAATGGATGCCCAAAGTGGGTGGAGTCTGCTTTCCCATGGCTTCTGGGACAGACTGGGGAAGTGCTGAATCTGCTGGGAGAGGCCTTTCAGGGAGGTGAGAAAAGTAACTACCAGAGGCAGGAGGCTCATAATGGAAAAACTGACAAGCCACATCGGCCTACCTTCAGCAGAAGCCAGAGGAAATGTAGTAGCACCCTTTCCTGGCTCTAAGCAGGGCCAGTGACAGCCTCAGCTCCACCCTGGCATCTTCATCTTCCCTGTGCCTAAGCCCGAATCCCCTGTGCAGGCTGAGCGGGCACAGTTCCTGCATGACAGGAGCCTGCCCTCCAGCACTGCCTATGGTTTTCGTCTTTCCAGTTTATGGAAGGGACAAAAGTGCAGTCAGGGTCAGACCTGGGGGAAAGCTGAGAGTTCTGAGGCACTTAAG